TCGGGGGTGTCTTACTTTTGGGGAAACAGGGTATAACCAATGAGGCCTCTGTGTGGGCATGTCCTGAGAATTCTGGGAACTCCTATATTTCCTCCTTGGAGGCGGGAGACACTTCTCTCTCTGCTCTCTCCCTTGGAGACTTGCTACTGACAAGACACATGGTGTTATGCTCTGGGAGCTGAAGAAGCCACATGAACTTACTCTGATACAAGCAGACCTCTGGAGCCAGAGAAGCCACGTAGAGACCCCTGCCAACGCTGAGATGCTTACACCACCACTGGATCCAGAAGACTTCCACCCCACTGACCTGTGAGTTTCCTGTATTCAGCGTAATTGCATGTGTTGCATGGGTTTGAAGAGAGCTTTATAGATTGGTATCAAACATATGGGCTAATATCGGACGTATAGGCGATCTGGACTGGGCTGGGCTGTTTTCACATTATTCAATTGTTCTTCTAGTTAAACCTTTTTCTTATAGACACGAGTCTCCTGGGATTTGTTTCTCTATTCTATCCAGACTAACACAACAGTGGTCCTTAGTAATCAGGAAAGGTGTGCATCAGGGTTGTATTTTCTTCACCATACTTATTCAATCTGTATGCTGAGCAAATCATCAGAGAAGGTGGATGATGTGAAGAAGAATGGGGCATGAGGGTTGGAGGAAGGCTTATTAATAACCTGTGATGTGCAGGTGACACAACCTTGTTTGCTGTGTGAGGACTTGAAGCACTTGCTGATGAAGACCAAGTATTAGTCTTCAGTATGGATTACAACTCAGTGTAAGAACACTAAGATCCTCTAATTCATTATCACCAAATGGAGAAAAGATTGAGGTTGTCAGGGATTTTGTCTTGGTGAGAGCCACAATCAATGTTCATGGAAGCAGTAGTCATGAGATCAAAAGACACATTGCCCTGGGTCAATCTACTGCACCTCTTTAGAATATCGAAAAGGAAGGATGTTATTTGGAGGACAAGGGTGTGCCTGATCCAAGCTATGGTATTTTCTTTTTTTTTTAAATCATTTTATGAGGGACTCATACACCTCTTACCACAATCCATGCATACATCCATTGTGTCAAGCACATTTGTACATATGTTGTCATCATCATTTTCAAAACATTTTCTTTCTACTTGAGCCCTTGGTATCAGCTCATTTTCCCCTCCCTCCCTCATAAACCCT